TGATATTTTTTGTTTTCCTTTAGCTTCAGCTTCCGATGCTACACCACGTATCACACAACCACTCAATGATATAACTATAATTGAAGGTCGTCCTTTAAAATTGTCATGTGGTATTGTCGGTTTACAAGTGGCTGTGAACTGGTTTCATAATAACAATGTAGATTCTTTTTACTTTTTATACAATCAATTTGAACTCTATTTTCTTTTTAGTTAATTTCATCAACGACACAAGTAAAAACGGATTATAACGGTGAAAATGCCATTTTTTCTCTTTCTCGTGTATGCATTGAAATATAATATGACATTGTCTGACATTTATTTATTAAATCTTCATTAATTTATTTAGTGTATGAGAACGGATGCTGGCACTATTGATTGTATTGTCAAAAATCGATTTGGTGAAGCCAGAACAAGTTGTCGGGTTGAAGTAGTCAATGATCCTGAATTTGACCGGTGAATATGATCTAATATCAAGCAAAAGAGGAATGCTTCATTTGATTTACTTTTTTTTTTTTGATTTCGTCGAAAACAAAACTTGATTATTTAATCGTTTCATTTCATTTTATTTCGTATAACTTTTTTTTTCTTTTCGTTTATTTTCCTACTAGTCTAATGCATTGATTATAATTATTTCTTTTCTTTTTCTGTTGTATTGTAGCATTGTACGGCTCTTTTTTTTTTGTTGTCAATTTGTATGAATGATTAGTGAGAATTAACAAGAAAAAGAAAAAAGAATGAATGAATATCACAATTGAATCTTTCCGAAAAATTTTCCCTTTCAATGATAATAAAAGTGTTTGAAAGTGTGAATATAACAATAGATATCTTATGACTTCAACATCATTTCTTTATGCTCATAGTATTTATTATGGAATAGTTTCTTAAGACTATTTTTATTATAGTAATTTTAGAGTTTGTTAAAAGATACTGCCGGACAAGGTTGTAAATCTCTCAACCATTTAGATGTCACTTTTAGTAGAATAGAAAGGTATACCATGCAACTCTGCACATTATTGTCTATTTCTTTTGTTTTTGTTGAGGGTGAAAAACAAAACATTTGGAGATTAAATAGGGTTAGGGATCTACTTTTTTGGACGTTTCAAAAAATCATTTTGCAACCTGTAATTTTTCTATTATAAGCTCAATACAAAAATTAATATCCTATAATCGATACAAGTTTTCATGCTCTGCAAAAAGACATATCGATCATGTTCATCGATTAGTTTATGCAAAGTCAGACAAGTATAATATTATACTTGTCTGACTTTGCATAAACTAA